AAATAATACGAATATGACAGATTGTGTTGAGAACGGAACAGTTTGGTGCCAATTATAAAATTATAATTACGTTTTTAAAAAATACTGATGTGGGGAATTAAGCAAGCCGGACATTGAGGAAAAACAAAATAATTTGTCATTTTTATTTCTCATAAAATTTTGTAATTAATAAATTGTTTATATTTTCATCCAATGAGAAGGAGAAATATGGATTATTGGTTACAAGACTGGATATTAGACATTCAACCGAAGTTCGAGATTTGATAATCAATGAGCCTAAGGAGATGCCTTAATCTACATTAAAGGCAGCGTTAATTTCAAGATTAGGCACTTCGGAAAAGTCAAAGATGCAGTTATTGATGACACCATCTCAATACATGCGTCATTTGAGGGCTTTAGTTGGGTTTTGTTTGACTGGATTTTTGTAATGAAAAATATTGTACAAATAAACTTATAAAATTTATCATTGAATTAAACGTTAAAAAATATATCAATCGGCAATTTTAATAATTCCCGAAAGTCGGACATTGAGGAAAAACAAAATGTTTGTCATATTTATTTATCATAAAATTTTGTAATTAATGAATTGTTTATATTTTCATCCAACGGATTTTATTATATTTTTATATTCATAACTTTTTCCTACACTGATAAACTACAAGTACGAAATGTCGAATGGAATATGCGATTATATTTACAACTGATGAGCATGGAATAGTTCTTTCTACGATCCACCACATTTGCTTTTTGCATAAAAATAATTTTTATAGGTATAATAGAATTATAGATCCAAAATGTGAAGCAAAAGCGGCATGATGAAAGCTTATTAGAAACCTTAACTTATTAGAAAACCTTAGAGTTTTGATAGCAAAATGGTCAAATTTTGCCAAGATTATGAACGAAATATTACCTTGATGAAATAAGAATAAAAAAAGAAGATTGACCTTGCAACACAAGTATTTTCTAAACGAGCAGACATCAATATTTTAATTTATATTCTCGTTTTATCAGTACTTCTATAAAAGTACTGGTAAAATTTAGGAATTTCTCAGTCATCTCAAATCAAAAGCCCATCTGAGTTTCCGCAATCTATTTCGTTATATCATTAGTAATAAATCTGTGCACGTGCACATTGAATTATTTGAAAAATTGAAAAAAAAAGTTAGATTTAAAGCACTTCACTAAAACTAATGAATTCTGTTAAAACTAGTGATTCCGAATTCAGTAGCTATTTCGAAAATATCTACCCACCGCCAACAATGACAAAAATGTATAATACGACAATATAATATCAATTATAATGATTATTTACTACTTATCGCACCGATCGAACTATAAAATTAATAAAATTATATTATCTTCTAAAGCAAAGTGGCCACACCCCAAAATATTTTTATTCATTATTTATTTTAATATCAGTGTCATGGATAAAAAATTATTACCGCTAAAAACAGGATTCGAGCCAGAAATAGTTCGGTATATTTGAAAAAATACGATCAAATAATGGATTTATATATTTAGGTAATAAAAAGTTTAAGCATAATGACTAAAGAATTTTTTGCGGCATAAGAGGGCCAGGTGGTTGTAATAGCAATCCAAGTTATTTTTTATCCACTTTTAGAACGTTGCTTATAAATAATTTATCATCTCATCATTCTTCTTCTTCTTCTAATTGTGAAGTTGATGGTAATTGTGGTTTACCAGCTGTTTATCGAGTTTTTCATAATAGTGATCACATATTAAAGAAGAGATTCTTCTCAGTGATGAAGGGCCATTTACTTTTCAAGATACGACACAGTATAGCAAAAAATTCCAAGGCTTATATTGCAGAATACTAAGTTAACAGATTTATAAACGGTGTTCAAAATGGCCAGACTCAAAATTTTAAAAGATCGTATAGACCAAAAAAAAAATGCCTCTAAAAATATATCAAAAAATCTCTAAAGGTTCTGTTTTTGTCAAAATTATTACCAAGTATTGGAGCATTCCATAATGATGCTGTGCGCTTGAAAATAATGTTCTTACTAAATTTAGTTCCAGTTGCGTCCGAAAAATAATTTAATAAGCAATATTTTTTAAAATTCTCATATTTTTATTAAAAATTGGTGTAAAATGGTTTGTAGATATCTCACAGGAAAATACGTTAATTGAAATGAACAACTACCAATTGTCTATTTTATAAAGTTTTTGTGCCATCATATCGTATTTAAAACATTAGTGTTGAAATATTTTCTATAGAAATTAATTTAATTATTATTTTGATCGCGACAATGAAATATACTCAGAGAGAGAGAGCGATATATACATACTTTACTTATCTATGGTTATGCTAAAATCGGGGAATGCTTGAAACGACACAGCACAATTTCATATACTTGTAATTCTTAGACAAAAGGCGAGCGAATGACGCCAATTGGTGTCAAAAAAATAAATAATAACGAATAATAAATTAGACGCAAAAAACATTTTAGAACCTCCCCCCTTAAAGTAATACCCACTTTGAATACGGAAAGAATTAATCACCATTATCGACATATTTTACTATTTTGCTATAAAAATGATAAAAATACTGTTTTAGTCAAAATGACAGTGTTGATATTACTACAGTTCCAAAACTGCTTTGCTGAATCCCATTTCTGGTATTTTGATGT